GAGAGAGAGAGAGAGAGAGAGAGAGCGCTTTGGCAGAGGGTCCGCGCATCGACGCTGCTCCGAACGCCGTCAGAGCGCATCGCCCAATAAATCCAATCCAATCATCCAAATAATCCCAATCCGAATCCGAAGTCAGCCAAGCCGATATCAAGAAATTGTCCAAAAATGTTTGATTTCTTTTTTTCGCAGCTGTTGTGGGTGCGAAATGGTCGGAATTCGGAGAAGCTCGAGTGGAGGCTTTGTGCTGCATTGCTGCACTTTTGACGACTTTTTTCGAGCGCCCCTCCTCCTCTGGTCCTTACCTCGATCATCCCTACTCGGACCACGACCAGCAATCATGGGACACGGCAAATCGGACCGGCCGTATCTGAGTGCAGCCGAGCACTCGGGTGTGTACGGCTCGCACTCGGCGTCCTCGGGCAAGACCGCTTCGCTCGCTGCCGCGTTCGAACCCGTGGCGTTCGACTGCTGTGCGCTCTCGTTCCAGCCCTGGACGCTGCCCGTGTGCTCGCCCGACTGCGGCGTGGCATTCGAGCTGACAAACCTCATCCCCTTCCTGCGCAAGTACGGCGTGCATCCGATCACCGGCAGAGCCTTCGAGCTCGACGACGTGGTGCGGCTCAACTTTGCGCGCAACGAGCAGGGGCGCTTTCACGATCCCGTGTCGATGCGCGAATTCGGCCAGCACTCGCACATTGTGGCCATTCGTCAGACGGCAAACGTGTTTCTGTACGATACCGTGCTCAGGCTCAACATCAAGCCCAAGTACATGCGTGATTTGGTCACGGACCAGCTGTTCACCAAGGCGGATATCATCACTGTGCACGATCCGAATCGGCCCGAGTTGAGAGATGCACGCCAGATGCACCATGTCAAAGAGGAACTCGCTCTGACACAGCAGGACAAGGGCATCGATACGACGCAGCAGATCAACACGGCTGCCACGGGAAGTGCGAAAAAGCTGCTTGCGAAACTGGGTGGGAGCACCGGAAAGGAACCGAAAGCGGCGCCAAAGAGTACCGCGCTGAGTCGCAACAAGGCCGGAGGGGCATCGACGGGGATGGCGGCTGCGAGCTTTACCTCGTCGAGTCTCACGCCGCGCACGGCGATCGAGCGCGTGGAGCTGGACGATGAACAGACCATGTTTGCGCACGTGCGGCGCACCAAACGCAAGGCATACGTCCGTCTCACCACCAACCTGGGCGCACTCAACCTCGAGTTGCACTGCGACGTAGCGCCTCGAACGTGCTACAACTTTGTGCAGCTTTGCAAGCAGGGTGGATACGACGGTGTGGTTTTCCACCGCAACATCCCTGGATTCATGATCCAAGGTGGCGATCCTACGGGTACTGGTCGGGGCGGCAGTTCTATCTGGGGTCACGACTTTGTGGACGAGTACGGCGAGGCTGGAGCGCTGAAACACTCGTCTCGGGGGATGCTGTCGATGGCCAACCGAGGACCAGGCACGAATGGGAGTCAGTTCTTTCTCACCTATCGCCCAGTGCCACATCTGGATGGAAAGCACACGGTGTTTGGTCAGCTCGTTGACGGCGCCAAAGATGCGACGCTGGCAAAGATGGAGGCGGTCCCGACGAGTGATGGCGACCGACCTATACGCAAGATTCGGATCGAGACGGTGCTGGTTAGCGACGACCCCTTCGAGGTGTACACGCTCAAGCAGAAGGATGCAGCCAAGGCGAATGATCCAACCAACCCCGAGTACATAGCGCGTATGGAGAGGAAACGACGCCGCGAGCACGATCGAACCACCTGGTTGGGCACCGAACTACAAGGCAAAGACGACAAGGCCAAGCAGATTCTCACCGCTGCCACCACGGTGGGCAAATACATGCCGCAAACACAAACCCAGCACCAGTCCAAAGACCAACCTCAAGCGTCAAAAAAGCGTAGGGCAGGCTTTGGAGATTTTTCATCGTGGTAGAATCAAGCGCACATATCGATACCCAAACCAAAGAGTGTGATTGCACTGTGTTGCTGCTACTGCTGGGGCTGTTGCTGTTGCGGTTGCTGTTGCTGGAGTTCGGGGTCGGTAGAGTAGTTGTCGACATTGATATCGTTCAACCCAAGGTCTTCGTTCTGGTCCCAAGACCTGGTGTACTTTTCGTCGGTCAGCTGTTCGTCCACATCGGGTGCATACGGATTCTGAATGTACGAGTTGGCCAGCGGATCGTCGAGCACGACCGTGTACGGCTCATCGCACGCAATGACCTTCTTCAGCCTGGCGAGGAAGCCTTCAAAGTTCTCGGCGTTTTGGGACGAGTCGCCACGCATGAGCACGCGCTCGGACAACTCGTCGTACACCTGCTGCAACAATCCCTCGAGCGTGGTAAACCTTCCACCCAACGTTCCCGGTGCCAGATGAAGGTCAATCTCGGGGATGGCGAAACCGGCGGTTTCGGACTTGAGCACATCGCGCGAAAGATCCTCCTTGTCCTCCACCCGCAGCGTGAGTTTGCGTCCGAGCTCCGAGATGGCCGAACCGGACTTGACTTCGTTGTCCTTGTAGCCGCAGTTGTCGCAGTTGGTCGACATGATGAGGATGTCCTTGAAGTAGGGGATGTTGACCTTCTTCATGCGCGTGTCGAGCGGCGCGTTGCACGACGAGCATGTGCCCGCAAACGTGTATACCTCCTCGTTGTCGAATTCGGTCTCGCCCGCGTCCTTGTCAAAGCCGGTCGTGTGCAGCTCTTCGCCCTCGACAGCGGGAGCGCTCGAGGTGCCCGAGAGTCCGAGCAGCTCGTTCTGCTCCTTTGAGCGTGGATAGTCGCGCTTGCTCCACTTTGCATCCGACATGCCGCGGCCCTGAACGTCGCCCATGAATTCGACAAACGAGTTGCCCGAGGGATCGTCCAGCCTGATCGAGAAGGGGGGCACCTTGCGCTCCGCCTTGGCCTCGGCCGACATGGTGTTGGTGCTGCCACCAACAGGACCGAGGCTTCGCAGCCCCGAAGTGTTGCTCTCGTCATTAGCCGCAGCTTCTTCGTCGGCCTTCTCCTCGCCGAGGATGTTCCTCAACTTGTCGCACACCTCTTCGATCTTTGCGTACGCCTCGGGCTGCATGTGCTTGCGGAGGGGCTGATCGAGTTCGAGATCGCGCAGCGTATCCGAGACAACGCCCTCGATGGTGGTGAGCTGACCCTTCTTGGGCGGGATCTCGATCTGCAGCTCGGGGATGGTGATGGTGCAGTGTTCGGACTTGACCACCTGTCGGTTGAGGTCGGTGGGGTTGGTGACGTGGACGGTGTACAGACAGCCCTTGGTCTGGATCTGACCTGCGGACTGGATCTCGGAGTTGCGGTTGCCGCAGTGCGGGCAGGAGAAGGAGACGACGATCACCTCGCGGAAGTAGGGGATGTAGGTGAGCAGCATGCGCGTGGTGCCCTGCTTGTGGCAGTCCATGCAGAGCGATTCGATCTCGTCCACCATCTTCTGCTCGACTTCGGTGGAGGCAGGCTGGTCGCCGTCGGCAACGTGCTCGCCGATGGGCTTGAAGAAGTCCTTGGGCTCGGCGGCGGCGGCGGCGGCGGCGGTGGTGGAGGACATGGTGGTGGATGCGTCGGGAATGTCGACGTCGGCGATGGATTGGGGAGCAGCTTCGGTGTTGGGTCTCTTGGGCAACGGTGCTGCTGCAGAATCGGTTGTGCGTTTCATGGGGTGGTGGCTTGGCGATCAGCAGAGTGGTGGTGATAGGGAGGAAGGCAAGCGTGTGTCTGAGCGCGCCTTCTTGACTCGCCACAACTGCGCACGACACACTTTGCGCTCATGTGGAGTTTGAGAGATATTTTTTTTCGCTCGGATTTTGGCTGCTGGATTCGAGTGGCTTCTTGCGACTTCTGGGCGAGCTGAATCGGGATGGGGACGCGCTGATCATCGGGCGATTGCCATGCCGGGGTTGGAAAGGCCGAGAAGACGCTTTTGTGTGTACCAGTGGACTCGCGCATGGTCCGACGGAGTGCAAGCGGGCGGAGGTCGAAATGGATTGCGCCGACTCGAATGCCGGTTTGAGTGTGTGTCAGAAGGAGTTGGGGTGACCGACGTGCGATGATGTGTGGGCGCGCTTACGAAGCTGGTTCGTCGGCCGAGATTGCAACGAGTGCACGGATGGAGGTGGCTCATGGTCATGCTGTTGTTCGCAACCAGGAACGTGTGAGCGGTGTAGAGTACGATATGAGCCGTTGCAGACCGGCAAGCGTGATTGGATGGGGCCAAGCAGCATGGCAGCGTTGACAACGTACGTTGAGCAGCGAGGAGAGCCGGGCGCAGACGAGGGTGACAGCAGAGCTCGGGCTTGAGCGGCCGGCATTGCATCCGAGCGAGCGGCGGGTGGGCCGAGCGAATCGCGATTTTCGGAAATAGTTTTTCGAGGCACTTCCGTGGACTTTGCTGGCGGCGGCGATGCGCGCTGCCACATTTCGAGATTGGCCGCCGCCATCAGCGGGAACCAGTCTAATTTTTCTCGCGTTCGGGCGGGGGCGCGGCGGCGTGGAAAATCATGGCAGCCGAGCAGCGACAAGAAGGGCGGCGCGCGTGGAGAAACGTCGGAATGCGCCCTGCTGGGCCCGCGGTGCTCAGTCGACTCTGGCTTTGGCTTTGGCTTTGGCTCGAGGCAGGCACACAATCTGCTCGACCTCTCCACCATCTCGCCGCCTCGCCTTTCCTACATCCGTATTCCTATCCATCACCGCCAGTCACTGCGAAAAGAGCTGGCACATACGCTCCGCCTTCAAAGTCTCGCTCTCGACCCTGGCCCCGATACGTGCTCCACAACCACATCCATTGCCGACGCTCGCTCGCACACAAACACACACACACGCACACACGCACCATCTCTCATCGTCTCACCACATTCCTAGCACCATCACACACACTTGTAGCGCAAGCCCCCTCGCTTGCGCCGCCGTTGCATCTGCTCCGTCACGCCCAACCCATCGCACCCCACCCAACCTCGCACGCCTTGATGCATCCCGTCTGATCCCCACACAACTCGTCTTTCCCCAATCACGCGCGCTGCGTCTCACCATCCGCCTAGCCCGGCCAGTCAGGCTCCACACTCTCCCTTCTCGTCGCCCTACGCCGCTCCGCCCACTCGACCCACCCATGCCTGCCGACACTCCATCCCGTCTCTCGTTGTAATTCTCCCAAGCACACCCGGGCACCTCACTCGCCGCTCCCCACCATGCCCACTCCCAACCCGCATCCGCTCCACCAGTCGCTCGTCAGACCCTCGTCCCCCGGCGCTTCCAGCCTCTCCTCCGAGTCCGCAGCGCGTAGGATTGCCGCCAATGCCGTCGAGGCTCCCAGCTGTCCCATCGCCTGGGGCACCTGGCTTCGCAGGTATCAGCTCGGCTCGTGGTGCGAAAAGGTCGCCCCACAACAGTCCTCCACCACCGCCGCATCGTCCGCCTGCGCCCCAAACGGAACCACAACCTACTCTTCCCCAAATCCAACCTTGACGCATACCCCGGACCTCCACCTGCCCGAGGCCGCCGCTGCTGGCCCCTCCTCGTCCTATGCATCTACGCCGCCTCCACCTACCCAACATGCGCGCACAACCTCGGCCAAGCTGTGCCAGCCCTTTGAGTCCTCCAAGGCGCATCGCTACGTCAAGCTCGACTTCGAAGAGAAGATCGAGTCCATGCAGTTCTACCAGAAGAACGGCTGGCTCGCCGCTCCTCCCTTGCCCCGCAGACAGCATCGCCGCGTCGCAGAGGCGCTCCGTCGCCACGGACTCACCGGCGCCCAGGACCGCGACGCTCTCAACCTCTACGTCCAACACGCAAAGGCCGTATTCAAGTGCGACTACGCCTCCTTCATGGTCGAGAGTCCAGACGAAACCTACATGCTCATCCTCGCACAGGACGGCGGCGATCCGCACGTCCAGATCGTCCCACGCACCGTCACCTTGTGCTCCCACGCCATGCTCCTCTCCGACGACGAGGTGCTCGTCATCGCCAACACGAACAACGACTGGCGATTCCGCGCCTGCCCCTCCACCCTCGCAGGCACCGTGACAAACGCAAAGGGACATCCAATGAGCTTCTACGCATCAGCGCCCCTCTTCCTCTCCTACTCCCTCTACGGCATCGAGGGCAGAGTACAGGTCGGCCGTCTCTGCATCATGGACCAGCAGCCCCGCGAAGACTTTGACGAAAAGGACGCAGAGCTCCTCTACTCGATCGGCAAGATGGCCGGCGACGCCCTCGAAAAGGAGTACCAGAGCGCACGCAACGCAAAAGCCGCAGAGATGCAGCAGCGCACCAGTGGCCTCATCCGCTCCCTCGAAGACCTCTCGCTCACCCCAAATCTCCGCCATCTCAACTCCTCCGCCCCCAACTCGGTCAGCAACGACTCCGATCACGGCGGCTACGCACGCTACTCGTTGGTCGTCATCGATCGCGCATGCCACGAGCTCCAGCAGTGCCTCGGCGCCGCCGCCGTCGCCGCCTTTGACATCAACAACTTTCGCTTCAGGAAAGCTCCGCAGCAACCCGTCTCGCCTCGCAGCTCGACCGCCTTTGCCGCAGCGACCGTACCCTTGTGGCATCATTTCGACGACAAGGACCTCACAGAGCCCGTCACTCCTCCCGCCGATTCCGTCTCGACGCCCACCCTCATCGACCCGGACTCGCCCATGATCTCGCCACGAATGAGCCGCAACCTCTCCTCCTCCGCCGACCAAGTCGGTGTGCTCCAGGCCATCGACCTCCGCGAGGGCTCGCCTCCGCCCAGTCTGTTGAGCTTCAGCGGGCCTGCCAACTACCATCCCAATATGGCCGACGACATCGACCAGCTCAAGGCCGTCTTTGCCTCGCCTCTCGCCCGCATGGCTGCAGAGACAAAGATGAACCTGCGCTGCAAGTTCTATCGCAGGAACATCGACGGCTCCTCGGCCTCCGACGACGGCGAAGACGACGATACGCTCGCCTCCGGCGCAGACGACGACGACGACAAGGATCCATGGCAGGGTCTGCTTCCCACAGATGCGCCCGTCAGCTCCTATGCCGTCGTCGCGTGCTACAACCGCGCCAAATTGCGTCCCGGCATCATGTTCCTCATCATGTTCGCCGACCCCGTCTGCTTTGATCAGCAGGAACGCTTCTTTGTCGAGAGCACCATGCAGATCGCACTCGGCAGCTTGCTCAGGCAGAAGCTCTCCGAAGTCGATTTCTTCCAGGCCGAGTTCCTCCGCCACGTCCAGCACAATCTGCGCACGCCCCTCCACGGCGCCCTCGGTGCCGTCGAGTACCTCCGCGCTGCTATCAGCAACGATCCGGACGACGATGCGGTCAAGATCGACCTCTCGGCGGATGGCGTGCTGGCCACGCTGCTCGAGTCCATCTCCCTCTCGGGCCTCACGCTCAACTCGTACATCGACGATCTACTCAGCTTCCAGAACCTCTCGGGCATCAAGGGCGGCCTCGCCCCGCCCGTCAAGCGCACCTCGGCCGACATTGTCAAGGTGATCGAGGCCGTCACCGACGAGGAGTGGGAGTTTGCCCATCGACTCGACCAGCAGTCGCGCAAGCTCGACGAAGACGACCTCCACCCCGACGCAGTCGCCTCGAACGCCGTCGAGCTCATCATCAAGGCCACGCCCCAGGTGCGCGAGTGCGACTGGATTGTGGATGTCAAGGCGCTCCAAGACGTAGTGCGCAAGGTGGTCTCCAACGCCGTGCGCTTCACCCAGAAGGGCTATGTCGAGGTGTCCATCCGTCTGGCCGAGCAGGGGGCGTTGGACGAGGTGGAGACCGAGGTGGCGGATGGATACGCGGTGATCGAGATCGAGGTCGCCGATACGGGCGTGGGCATGACCAAGGACTTTTGCCAGACGCAGCTCACACGACCGTTTACCAAGGGCGACTCGTTCCGCGACGGTATTGGTCTCGGCATGACCATTGTGTCGTCTACGTTACAAAAGTTTGGCGGCAAACTGTCGGTTGCGTCGGAGGTCAACGTGGGCACGCGCGTCACCATGTGTATGCCGCTACAGCGCTCGCCGAGCCATGGTCGAACTGGGTCTACGGCGAGCAATGTGCCGCCGCGCTTTGCCGCGTCCAAGCTGGCGCACTACGGGCTGGACACGCGCGGACTGCGTCGACTGGCCAACTCGATCTGCGAGTACTTTATGCCTATGGGCGGTATCGAGCTGACGCGCAACTTTGCCGAGGCCGATTGCGTTGTGCTGCCCATGCGGGCTGTGGCGAAGCTGGCCGAGGGCGAGCCGTCGCTGCTGTCGCAGATGAAGCCGGATGCGCGGTTCGTGGTGATTACGTCGTCGCATACGGTGCACGAGAAGGATGTCGAGATGCTCGATGGACGTGCGATGCTGCCGCTGCCTATGCCGCATGGGCCCAGTGCGCTGAGGCTGATGGAGACGTTCCTGTCCGAGGAGGTGCCCATGCACATCCACATTGCCGATGCGCGCAGTGGTGGTCAACACCGAGGCAGCGTTTCCGAGCCGGGGGCTGCCAATGGGCTGCGCAGGGTGTCGGGCCACCGCACGAGTGGCTCGGATGCAAGCCGCCGATCGACGCACGAGGCGCAGGTGTCGCCGTCTGTCGAGCGTGTCGACGCCAGGACGGCGAGTCTGAAGACGTTGCCCAAGATCATCACAGACACGACGCTGCGCGATGACGAGTTCCGGGTACTGGTGGTCGAAGACAACCCGATCAACATGCGACTGCTCACGACGCTGTGCAAGCGACTCGACATCCGGTACGAAGAGGCGCACGACGGCGCCGAGGCCGTGACCAAGTTCATCTCCTTCCGGCCCTCGGTGGTACTCTTGGACATCTCGCTGCCGATTCAGGATGGGTTCGAAGCGTGTGCGCAGATGCGCACGCACGACGTGCCCTCGTACATTGTCGCCGTCACCGCGCTCAGTTCCGAAGAGGACAAGACGCGCGGCATCGAGAGCTGCGGAATGGACGCTTGGATGACCAAACCCGTCTCCCCGCGCCAGCTCAAAAACGATTTGGAGAAGTGGAAGGTTCGCTTCGAACAGAGTTGGGCCACCAACCAGGCGGTACACACCCTCCGCTACTCCTAACCCCCCCCCCCCCCCCCCCACCCCCCCCG